TGCCAAACATGACAGCACCAAACAACTCAAAAGCAAGTAAGTCAAAGAGACCACGAGTTTAAAAAAAAAAAAAAACCTTCGAGCTAGTTTGATGTGATAGTAAGCTAATGAGATAGCCAGCTTTAAATTTTTATTATCATTGCGCATCTTTTAAGAAAATAATAGAGCTGTTAAGTGTTGGTAACGCACTACCAATATTCACTTTAAATAGACACATCAACAGGTAATACCGGCGCGAAATACAGAGTTAAGTACGCAGACCGCGGCTTTATTTCATTATTTTCTGCTTCTGTTTAATGTTTTCATTTTTCTCGTTACTGCGTAAGTAGTTTTCACACCAAATGTCGCACGACTTTAGTCAAAAATGTCAAATTTTGACTCAAGCTAGTTGTTAAAATAGGAAGAAAGTTTTTTTGTATTGGCTATGACTTTTTAATTTATTGAAGAGAAAGTTTAGCCTGACTGGTTAAACTGCCTCTCTTTTTCTAGAATGAGTGAATTCTTAGCAGACGCTCAGGAGCGGAGCACAATCCTCAAAGTTGTCCACAGACGGGTCATCAACAGGTTAGACACATCCCTGATCATGTGCTCTCTAATTTTCACAAACGTTAAAAAAATCGATTAGAAAAATCGTGCAAAGCACTCGGAGGAAATAATCGACACAATTCTTCACGGACGAAGATGAAAAGCTACGACTTTAAACCAGAATTACACTCAGAAAAACATATTTTGAAGGTGTGCAGGTAACGCACATATTTATTTTAATTCATACTTTGCCTGAGGGGATACTTCGAAACCAGTACAGTAATTGTCTTGGCATAAACTTGGGCGCCCGTTTATCAATTATTATTTTCATGATTGTTTTTTAAAGATTTCACAAGATGTTGTTGTACCTTGGACTACAGTCAAGCGTAGCGAACAAGACCAAGGTAACATGGCATGGGTAGTATGTGTTAGTTTGTTGCGCGTTATTTGAAGTCACACAGCTCGGAATTTAACTGCTAACGTTGATTTGGTTATGCTGGCAAATGAAGAGTTTACTTAAATTGTCAACGTCATTCTGTTTTACCAGGTGAACGAGTTTTGCAAGATTATCAGTGAGTTTTCTTTGGAATACCGAACCACCAGGGAACGCGTGATTCAGATGAAGAAGAAGAAAGAGAACATGAGGGAACGTAGCAAGACGAGAGGAAAGCTTATAACAGAAACAGAGGTAACGACTTACATTTGGACCTAATACTTTAAGAACTACCATTAGTGTAAGGGAAGATAACTATATTTTAGTAGAAATATTTCTTGATTATATTGTCATAAATTCCCCGTTCGTTTTTGTTGTTCCCAGTCTTACTCAGTTGCCGCCAAGGTATCCGCTGAGGAAAACATCGAAGCGTTTCGTAAAGCTCTCATATCTAATGGCGATGAAACGGATAACGCAAGAGAGAAGTTGAAAAGCGCCACACTGCCGGGAACACGGAACAGGATCAAGAGCGCTGGTCCCTCTCGCACTAATTCTGGCATACAAACACTAGATGAATTTCAAGACGACACTACTGATGAAGTGATCAACACGCTGGCCAAGTCGGCGACAGTTCCGGATTCAAGAACAAGACAGGGAAGAAAGCGACCCAGGGCTTCCAATAGAAAATCAGGTTAGTAAGTTAGCAGATTAGGAGGGTAATAGAGGGAAAGCAGATAGTTTTGGAGCCGAATGTTCCCGCCACGATTTAGTGTGTACGTAGAGTTATTTGGCCACAGGGCAGTAAAAAAATGCAGTGCAGTGCGTTTGAAGGGAAGAAGTAGCTCGGCTTATCTTCTCGTACAATAATCGAACGTGGCTTGAAGATTATCTGGCCGCGTCGCGAATCATTGTGACGTGTTTTTATACAGTGCCTCTCTTTTTCAGTGAGAGAAAATGCATGGGGACTTATTAACTACGAGCATTTCATTCTGAAAGAGTAGTAAAGCTCTATCGAAAACCAGGATTAATCTTTTCTCACATTTAACTGGTTTTTTTTTTCACAGCTCGAAGGACACTTAAGAGTGGTATTAGTCCTGAAGATATTGAAAAGCTAACTAAACAGTATATGAATAATATGGAAACCAAATGACCCTTGTTAACTTAATTTAAACAGAATTTATCAGTAATTATATTTTTTACAAAGAAATAGTCTTATTGGATACTTCGATGCAAGGCAGGCTGTTCAACACGTGGATTCATGAAGGGTTGTTTTGTAGCGACGGTGAACGAGTAGTGAAATCTGGATATTTGTATATAAAAATTGTGAGTTTTAGGGCATTGTAAAGTTTATTTCTCTTCCCATGTTGATATCAACAACGAATTGTAGATTTTGACCAACTAACGGTGGTGTAGTTGATCTGTTTTCACCGATACTACTGGTACATTCCTCTTGTAATATATTTCCATCAACTAAAACTTCCAGCAGAATAGTTTGAGCTACCACGGATTTCCTTTTCTCTCTAAAGGTAAACAAGCAATGTTTTGATGTCAGTTTTTACTACTTTTATTCTCTTACAAAGTATATTTTAACAAATTTGTAATTATAAACAGTCCTAAGATTTTTTCTAAATAATGACTAATACGTTTCATTGTCGTTTGTGAATTCCGCGTAATTTCATGACTTGCACTGAACTTGAATTGCACATAAACTAACTGATCACCCAAACATTGTTTTGATCTTTTTCTCTCCTGATTTCCACGAATGATCAGTAGTAGATTCTCCTCACAAATAGTGCTATAAGAGGTACGAGCTCTAAAGTATACCAAATAATCAGTGATTGTAGGGGGCGTATAGCTGAGTATCATCTGAGCTTCTAAGTTGACAATTAGACAGCCGTCCTCTATGAGAAAGCATCATCTTCTGTCGCTGACGATTTGGCGGTAATTTTGTATATTTTTTAGGGAATAATTTGTCCTTGTTAATAATGAACTATGTTAAATGTGCAGTATTTCCTTTCCGGTCACAAGCAGGTCTTGTTGTCCTGACTTCAAATGGATTCTATGATAATACTGCCACATAACATGAAAATTCTACAATTGTTGCTTCTTGTTTGAAGAATATTAATTACTTTGGTAGTAAAGAAACCAAGGAGTTAAAAGATACGGGGTACACCTATTTAGAACTGGGTTGTTTTGCAATGATACGTATGCTGTAGAGTTATATCTTTGTTTTATAGATGGCAATGTCAGTTATCACCATAATACAGCCAGTTGATTGGCTGAGTAAACAATCCGGTCTATTTTGAATCTCTGTGAGTTCTTTAATTAAAAAATCCAATGTTTGAACTAGTAGATGGGTGCTTTTCTTTGCCTACCCGTTAAAATATACCCTTAAATGTTTACATTCTCTCTAACTTCTCTTTTTCTGCCACTCTTGAACGTTTTTGAAATTCTATCTTCAAGTTCAAATCAACGTACACCGAGTCTCTAAGATTCAGGCCGTAAGTGGCTCGACTCAGCTTTCAGAACTCATTTTCACCCGCAATTAGTTCTGTAAGTAACAACACGTAAGAATCGCGGATGAAAAATGTAACAAGAGCACGTACGCCTCTTATTGATTCACGTTTGTTGAAAATGTAGACCTCTCCGCCTGAATCTTTTCGCCTGAGTTTTAATGGCTGATGGGTGAAAGTATTTAAGTCCAATAAAAAATGTTTGTAATCGAACAGTTTGGACATGAACAACCATTTAAGAATTTTTTTATTGACGCATTTAATTTACATTTAATTCCTGGGCTGTACGATGAACGCGATTTAAAAATCTCTCTAGTTCAATCATTCTTTACACCGATCACGATGGGATGACGCTAGTTTGTGGGTTTGCCTTTGGAGTTAAGAAGCCACAGTTACTTCAAAGGTCTGTGCGAAAGAAAAAAATCTCTCTTAATCCTCTCGAGTAGTCGTTTATACAGGTTAAGGCAACCCATCTCCCCTCACGATGACTAAACCTAGCTCTGTTATATTACGAAACAAAAAGTTAAGCACACAAGACTGAACTAGTACAGCAACTCGAAAACTATGAGGTGCTTATTTAAGGCCAAAAGTCATTTTAATGACAGCTATCAACAAGTAATCGTAAAAAATGCTGGAGTTTGCTGTTGTGGTGGTTAAGGTCTAATGTAAAATGTGGGTTGAAAATATCAGAGTTCACGACGGAGTCCGTAAGTATCACACACAGTCACCTCTCAGCGAGGGGGCTGAAATCGAAGCGAGGTTTTCATATGGAAAATAAACCGATCGTATTATCAGTAATGTGTATGCCAGATCAACATTACCGCGCAAAGTAATTTTTACTTTTCTGGTTTGTAATTGGTCTTCTCGATTAACCCAAAGAGTGATGGAAATGGAACGTTGTTCGGTTGGAGGCAGGAAACGTTGCGTGATAACCCACGGAACAACTGTGAATGAAAGTATGACCTGAATGAAACTCAGTCCTTCAGACCATCAGTCTCGCCTGAATACAGTCTGCACATTCTTCTTCGCACTCCTTCATAGTATGAAACTAGTTCAAACCCTCTGGAAAAGATAACTAAAATATCCAGTACTTAAAGTTCTTTTGGTGTCGAACGACTCAGTTACGGAAGTTGACCATATACTGTAATCGCTGTCATCCTTCGCTCAATAGAAAGCATTAGAGTTTTTCACTCATTTACCCCTTTAACCCCTAAGAGTGACTAACATCTTATTTCTCCTTACAACATCACCCCTGAATAAAGCATTCAGGTCATGAGAATAAGGGAAACAACTAAACTAAAGAAGCTCTTAATTGTTAGACAAATTCTCCTTGTCAGCACCTCAGGAAGTGTATAGAAAACAGTATGGAGAATATGCATACTGATGTTAGGATGTAAAGGGTTCAAGCCGTTTTCAGTTTCTTAGCCCTCCTACTCAAAAGTTGTGAAGAGCACAAGAACCGTTCCTTTTCTTATTAACAATGTAGTAACTTAAGCAAACTCATCACCAAAGAGGAGCCTCACATTGTTTTAGCACATCGTCTCGCGACCATGCAAGTCTAGAGTAATTGAACAAGCGCCACAAATTTTAGCGTTCTCTTTGTTGTGGTATGTACACACAGAACAAACTCTGCTGCCCGGCTTTGACAGCTCCATAGCACTAAGTCCGCGTGTCGTGGAACACATGGCACAGATTTTGTTCTCTGCAAGATTAAAGAATGTGCAACGAAGACAGGACCATTCTTCTCCACTAATTCCAATGCCTTGTTCACCCTTTCCTTCAGAGGCCTTAAGGATCACAAATTGATGCCCTCCATTAAGCATCTCGCAAAGATCCTCAGAACAGTCTACCTTGCACTTTCCGCAAACAAATCGAAAACAAGAACGGCAAATGTATGACGCGGGTACCAAGCACTTATAACATTCGCCTTTTACGGCTTGCTTAAATGCACGAGTCTCATGAGACGATGTTGTTTGAGCAACTGATACAGCTCCAGTTTGAAAACTTTTCACTGAACCTTCAGTGTGATTTTGAACCTTTGATGGTGGGAAATGACGAGCTGAACCATCCTCTTTTCTTTGAGGTGAATCCCCGTTCGTTCTGTTCTGTACAGGTGATGGGGGTTTCTCTGGTAAACGATTCCTTCCCTCAGCTGCACCAGGGCTGATATTGTAAACAGCTGTAGACGCTGTAGGACTTTCAATATCAACGCGTAATCTGTGTGCTTGCTGTGATTTAGCGGCTTCCTCCCCACTAGGAAAATGCTCGACATTTGCTTGCTGCCTCTTGTGTTCACTAGACATATTTTTCTGCTGCTGAGGAGCTTTTGCAGTTTTACTAACGTTAGATGGCTCGTCGTTACTTGACAAATGATTTGAAGATCTCACGTGCGTCTCACCCTCCATCCTAATCAAGCCCTGTGCGGAGCAAGAGATGGCAGTTTGCTGAATTATCGTTAATCTGTCTTCAAAGTGTCTCCCACCCTCTTTCGTGGGCAAAGATTTATCTGATCCACTGCATCCAATGTTTTGACAGTCAGAACCAGCGTTACATCTGAGGTTCGCATACCTGCTGGGGTTTATGCCATGAACTCTTGCGGCAGCTTCGGCTGAACTGTTGAACAAAAGGCCATCACTGAGTAAAGCCGGTTGCAAATCAGGATCTTTAACTCCTGCGTTAGTGAGACGAGGAGAGTGTGGTAAACCAAGCTGATGGAAAGTGTAGTAACTTGAATCAGCGTCATGCTGCTGGCCTCCTTTTGTGTTAGCAGAGTACTGTGGGCGACCTGTTGGAGGCGTTGTAACATGTTGGCTATTACCAGTCTTTTCTCTGAACATGGCACTCCCGCTGGCATCATCATATCGAGAACTATTCTGGTCGCGCACCTCCCTGTTGTATGCACTTGCGTGCTCAGGTTGGCTTTCTTCAGGATTTACACCGTACAAAACGTTGTCTGTAATCCGTACCGAGTCAACACCGCCTAGTGGTAATTTTTGATGTGGTAGTTGAGCAGTGCGAACGTATCCGTTGCGGAATGTAGGCTCATTTGAACGATTACTAGCATTCGCAACACCACTGTCTGTTGCTTTTGACAGAACAGAGAGGTTGGCTGAAGATCCGCCATAGCTGCTAGTGGTGGTTTGGTCCTCTGACACTAATTCACCTGGAAGCCTGGCTCTGGCTTTGATGTTATCACTGGACTTCCCCATGGTGAACTTGTAAGATGATGCATCATCTCCCTGTCGTTCGTCAAGTTCTGGCTGTTTACTGAAAGATTTTCGGCCTAGATAACGAATAGCGTCTTCCATGGTGCGTCTTTTTGATCTTGATTTAACAATTTCCTTCAATGGAATATTTCTGCTTGAGTTTTGACTTTGAATTTCCTTCATTATTTGCAACTCCACCTGAAGTAAAAAGAGGTTGAAGGATGCCCACATGGGATTTCTTCTCCCAGAATCTTTTATATACACTTTGTGTTCATCTCTTTCTGTGTAGCCGAGAAACTTCAACACAGAAAAAATGAATTCCTTGTCTTTCAGTTGTTTTTCAATATTCTTAAAAAATGCAGTGTAAAGCTGTTGGAGAAGAAATGAAAAATTTGTAAAGCTCACCAAAAACCTCAACGCACAGAGGCCGAGAAAGGCCATTGGAAGTTAATTACAAAAGTGAAAAGTTAGTCAGGACATCAGCATAACTAGTAAACATAACACAGCCCCTTGACTCATTACCAACTGAACAAAATTGACCAATCACAAATGACTTTATTACTGGGTGAATCTGCAAAGTGAGTTGTCAGATAACGAAAATTGTACCTAATGATTTCTGAATCTGACTTTTCACCTTTGATATTCACTAATGAACTTTTTAATTTTCCTTTTGATCCAATATTTCCCACAACCTCTAAGAGCCGCCTTAAATACACATCTCAAAGGGCAAACTCATGTTGCTCAAATGCTACGTTATCAATGGGAAACAAAACAGACTTTCACAAATCTTCTGTTGTCTCTAACCCATTTACTACCATGAGAGACTATTCAATCACAGACTGAACTCTAGAAGTGATATGCTATTTTTAAAGAAAAACGTTAACATTCATCATCCCTGCCAAAGAGGAAAAAATTCATAGAAAATCATCTATATCCATACAAGGTACCTTAACAGTGTGGTACTCTTTACGCCAGGGGAACCTCCACAAGTTCACTCCATATTTCTCAAGGCTGTTCATTCCAGCCTTCATCATTTTAAAGAAGTCTTCATCACTATCAAATTTCTGAGCAATTCTCTCTACATCATCATAAAATTCCACTTCCAGTGCAAATCTGTAGCCAGGTTTAGAAGTGCTCAAGAATTCTTTAGAATTCCTCACAAGCACCTCCTTGGTTTTATAAGCATCATTTGAGAGATATTCTATGTATTGACTCAGCAAAGATCCCAAATCCATTCTTTTTTACTTCACATCACTTTTAAGCCTGCAAAGAAAATCAAATATCATCTTTAACAAAAATCAAAACCATCAAAAACTCAAAATAAACTGATTTACATTTCAGCTTTTCAGATATTTTCTACAAATATTTAACATAGAAATCAACATAATTTGATTTCAGGTAAAAAAAAAAGAGGAAAAAAACCTCTACAAGTAAAAGGGAACAGAAGATCTGAGTGAATGAAGTAACATTGTATCTACAGTACATTATGTAAATCAACAAGCTCAAATGATAGCTGGCATGTTTAACCACTTTTTTGGGGGATTGATGATACCAATTTTTCATTCCAAAGTTCTCATGACCTTGCCAAGCATACTTGGGAGCTGCATAGCTAAATTTTCAATTGAAAAGAATCCAAGCTGACTTCAAATCCTCTTAGCTATCAAGAGTCACCAAGAGCTCTTGGTTGAAGCATCCACTTTAAATTTCCCCCTAGTTTTATTGAATCATCATGACTACAAAATCATATTCTTTCTCAGAAATTAGATAAGTTCTCTGAATCTCACTGCAACAAATTTATGGTAAAAATTCAGCATCTTCATATAAGAGATCTTCAAAGGAAAAAGTACTTAGTGCCTACCTAAACAGTTTTAAATGAAGCATTTACAAGAAAGACTAGACAGTTTTAAGAATTGCAACATATGTTCTTAAATCAACTATACAGCATTTATCTATTGTTAGTACACATTGATCAGTTGCTCTTTCTCCAAATTTTTTTTAAAATTTTCATTCTTAATCATTGTCCACAATTATTTTGTCAATAGCTAAATACCCTGGCACTTACATTAAGACTACCAACCTCTCTATTTGTTAAATGAATTGTGAGGATATGAAGAATTAGACCATTCTGATATAAAGTTTCCTGAAAATTCTGTACATATTAACTTGCAAAATTATGTCAAGGACTTTTTCATGTCTTGTGTTCTACATTTCATCTCGCAATGGACAGTTCAGTTAATTTTATCTGGTGGAATTTTAACAAAAGATTAATTCTCCTTGATATCATTTCTTCCAGATGTACCATTCATGGGAAGGGAGAAGATCAAAAGTTGCACATTTATTTATTAACGTGTTTTAACTCCACTTTGACAGCTACGACAAAGCAGGAGTCGAAAGTGAAACCGGAAATGTATCATTGGGGGGATCACCGCTTCGCAATATTTATAGAACATTAAAATTGACTTCCTTACGAACCTTCGTTGTGTCCCAGATACAATAGTAAGTTAAATATCGCAAGAAAAATTCAGACTGTTCCTACGATAGAAGAAGATATTTTGGAAAAAAACTCTAACATTCAAAGAATATTAAATCGTGTGAAAAACGACCTTTTTTTTATGCATCATATCAGCGTGCACAATCTCGATCAAAAGTAGAAAATCGGTAACGAAACGAAATATTTCGGGCGTTTTCGAATAAGTCATACGGATTTCGATCGATCCTAAATTTCTAAGTGATCACAACAACCTGTCGTAGAACATAACGAAGTGACCACAAAAACATAAGCAGAGGAAAATTTGCTTCGCTGATCGCTGCGCATGACATCACAAACCCTAATGATCAGTTACAATAAACACTCACCGTAGTTCAATCTGTCACCTTGAAATAACTCCAACAGACTGCAAAGATGTATAGAACCGAAGTATTTCCAAATTTATATTCATAAGAATATATTGCCTAGTATGAATTCAACCATCTCGTCCTCTTGGCTTAACGAACTAAGGAAATAAGTTGGGGATTGTGGGATCGGTGGCCAACTCTAGTGCCCAGGTTTTCGTCAGTTGATCGGCGCCTTCCAGAGGGTGCGGTGGATATGTGCAAGTGAGCAAGATGGTGCTTCAAAATCTCCTCAGAGATGGCCAGTAGAAAAGTGAAGGATTCGTGTGAGGGAGGGGGGAGGGGGAGAGAGGGGCAAAAGGAACAAAAAGTTAAGAATTTGAGTTAATTATTCAGCCAAGCCAACGTAGTATAGCTAAAAAAAAAACGCACTTGAGTTGATGAGTGCAAATTTAGTAACTATTACAAAAAACCCAACGAACTGTTACTGCGACATAAATCGTCAAAGACGATTATTTAAAATTCATTGAAAAGATTACTTACAACCTCGATGTCAATCCACGTCATTCATTTCTATTCTCAAGCATTCAGTCCCAATTATGCATGCTCGTAGGTCTTCATTTCACCATTTTCCATTTGTGCGGAGATGTGGTCTTCACGTTGAAAATTGTTCCGAGCGTCCCAACTGACGAATTGAGAAAACGGTGTTGTGTTAGCCCTCTATTGAAATCGAAAGTGGTGTGGCTCTATCTCGTCAAGAACTAAAATTTTTACGCTAATTTTCATTCTCAACTTGAAAACGAAAAAGCACTGAAAGAAAATGAAAGAGATCAGACTAATGAACAAGGAAGTTAAAACAGTTTGGTCGTCTGTTACGTTTGCAACCCGTGTTGTTTTTTGATGTTTAATTCCTTCTTACTTGGTGTCGTCTCCTTCCCGTTTAAGAATATCCAAGTCCAACAAAGGAAAAAAAACAACTCAAAATATTGTTCTATGCAATTGTTTTCAATAGCACGGAAAAGACACAATCCAAAGTTGATAGGGACTCCAAATCGACCGTATCGCGAGAAAACGAGGTATCCTTAAAAACGTTAAGACTAGATTGGGGTGAAGAATCTGCAGGATGAACAAACTTACAAGCATTTGATTTATAAGAAAAAGTACAAGATTTATCTGACATTACCTTCCCATTATACATAACAGGTTCGATTCTATTCAGACCTGTAAAGTATGAGGCAGATAATTCAGGCTAAAGTTTTGAACTAAAGTAAAACTAGATAGCTCAGAGGAAGTTTTATTTCTTTTAAGATAACATCGCCTAACACAAGCGCGCTTGTGAGGTATCAAGTAAAAGATGGCGGGCAGACCCCGGCACTTTTCCAAACCTAGTCTACTTTTCAAGTAAAACAAATGCAATAAATAATAAGGAATAGCTGTGGATCATGTGATCTGATTGTCTGGGTGAGAATACTTCTAAAGCAGAACTGTTATCAGTGACAGTGACTGTTCCAAGCTGGGTTATTGAAGTCCAGCAAGTAACGCGTGATTCTCGTGATGACGTAACCAACAATAGTCCTTCCAGGACTACTCTTGTCCAGACGAATTAACCCTTTCACTCCCAAGATCTGATTGTCAATTCTCCCCTCTAGCTGCTACACATTTCCTTGTAAATGAGTTGCGAGAATTCTACCTGATACATTAGAATATTTTCATTACTTGTTTGCTAGATAGTGCATGGATATTGCCGCGAGAAGTTACTTGTTAGCAACTTCTGGGAGTTAAAGGGTTAAACGTCTTTCTTAAGTTTGCACTGGTCCCTAACATACATGCAACGTCAGCGTGGTTGTCTGTAACAAGCTTATCCTGCTTGATAAAGGATATCATTACATGTGCAGCGCACTTGTCTTAGTTATGACGATGGGTCTCCCCTCCCTCCCTGTCGTTACGTTATTGTTTGGACTTGCGATAATTAATATTCCATCCGACTGCGGGGTCGGTAATAATGCAGCAAAAGAAATAATTTAACCTCATCATGTCGTCAAGTTAAACTGTCTTTCTGACAAAACAAAACAGTACCGACCAAATATTTTCTAGCAGGGTTTGGACTGATGGCCGAAAAAGGAAAATGTCACTTCAGAGAATGGAGTTTATATTTCTGAATACAAGGCTTTCATATGTGAAGAACAAAAGAGAGAAATAAAAAAAATAAAATAAAAACTTAACACGAAGGACTTCCTGGTTTGACCTAATTGCTATCAACATGAAAGAACACTAATTTTATAGTAGCAATCAGAACATATTTTACACTTTGTATCACAAATTAAACCTATTATGAAGATCTTACAATCCTTTAAGAATAATCTACAATTAATTTTTGTCGACGAATGCCAGAGTTCCTTTCATTCTATGATAACTTTCTTTCGTCTACGCTTCCGTTACTGATTGACTCAGAATCTCCAGTGAATTCATCTTCTTGTTCTGCGGCCTCTTCACCCAGAACTTGTGCCCCTTGAAATTCTTGAGGCCTACCATCAGGTCCCACCTGAGCTGTCCTGATCAAACCCTTCCTATTGAGGTCTTGGATCAGACCAGCCAATTTCTCAGCTTCTTCCTCCTTCTCCTGCTCAGTCATTTCATCCAGTGGATTAGACTTCCCATCATCTTTTGGAATAGCACCTAACAACAAAACAATCTAAATATCGCCGAATGCCCAATGAAAATATCTTACACCAAATGCAATTAGCTGTCCCACGGTTGCCACAGTCATTAGGTTTGGAATTGTCTCACTTTTCCCTACTAAACATAAAATTTCTCAAGCCAATTAAATTAACAATTTAACAATTTAACAAACAAGTCCTAATTAAGGCCTCCAAACTCCAATCACAGCCAACGTTTCACCCATAACGTTTTGCTTGTAAGCAAGTCACATACAGTGTACATGAACTGAAAGTTCATTTTTGGGATCATAGAGAAAGGATCGCTATTCTTGGAAACCCCATATCAGCTTGCTACTCAATTTCATTACAAAAAATTCTACCAATCCAACACCTTCACACTGTGAAATGTTCCAAAGAATTGAAAATGATAAAATATTAATTGAGTGGCTAAGACATTGCTGACTTGAATTGACAATCTTTGTCTGGCAATCTGGGTATCCCTCTAACAAACAGACCAATTAACTGTTACATTGTAAAAAGATTCTACACACAGTGTGATAACTGAGTAGTACTTTTAAGTCTTTTGCACTTTAGTAAGTGAAAAAAAACTACTCACTGCTAGACTGTACAAGACTGTACCTCAATGCGTTTCCTACAAAATACCTAAAAATTTATATTCTCTCTTTTTGTCCTTTTGAAGCATCATATAATGCTGATCAACCAGCATCTAAAATGGGCTTTTTGAAGCATCCCATGTGTCCTTTTCCATAACCTTTTAGGTGTTTCTCTTTCTCTTACTATTTCATTTTATGATGACACAACTGGACCAAATAACTATTATTTACTCCTCTTGAAATCTTAACCTTCATAAAGAAACTCACCTATCATGGGATCAATCTGTGCCTTATCCATGGAATATTCTTCAGTCTCAGAATCATCGTCATCTGAAGAGTAATCTCCAATACTCTGTGGCTGAACACCACCCATAAGTCCACGTGAAGCCAGCAGCCCTGCTGCATTGCCATAACCAGTGTATTTAATGAGCCGATTGACATTCTCCTTACAGAGAACAAATAGAAAATCTGCCACCAGCTCCTGATGAAAAAAAAATTCCAATTTTAGCACCTAACTATCCTTGGCAAACTTTCTTTACAGGGCTATATTGTTGTATTGAAAAGGGAAACACTTGTGACCTTCGAGTAATTTCTTATTACCAGCTATTTTGCTAATTTTAGAAAATATTAGTGAACTGTGAAAAACTCTAGGACAACTATAGTTTTGGAAAAAACTTAAAATACAAATTGTGTTAATAAAAAAAAACTTAGTGTTGCAACACCTCAGAAAATTATGGTTTAGAAGTTTAGACTTTTCCACTGCACTGATTCTTGAAATGGTGTTCTGCATATCATCATACTTAAATAAACACAATGTTCATTTGACTCAAGGTGTGCGTATGTGTCCTTCTGTCTCCCGAACTCTGTGTGAAACATTGTAACAGTCAATACAAATGGCATTAATCTCCACAAACCCACCTTAATATCTCCAACTGGCGATGTCATAAGCCTGACCAGGCCATTCCTTATTAAGTTTCCTTCTTCTGGGCGAGTGGTACCCACCCTTCCCAAGGGTGGCAGCACTTCTTGTCGTAGATACTTCCTTATCACTCTGTTTCCACGCGCCATTTGACAAAAGGCACTAAGAAATGGGACGATTTCTTCCTGTGGTGGCTGACTGGCAACTTTAAGACGACCATCCAGGATTGTCAACATAGTCTGAACTGTCAGCATATTGTATTTCTAAAAGACAAAAAAACAGGTATACATGTTTTGTTTGTAAAGTAGCAATAAGGTCACAAACTTTGTGGAGAATCATGACACAATCCCCTCTAACATTCAAATAGATTCTGCTTTGGCAGTTGTTGTAGAATTTGCTTTTAAGGTAAATTATTATTGTCAAATTAAAATATATTAATTAAAATGTTCTTACCAAAAGGGTTTCAGTGTCTTCATTCAATAATTTACAAGTATGCATAATACATTAAAAATTGCAGTTCTTGGCAAATGTAACTGTTTTTCTTATATTATTTGTTAGTAATTTAACAAGAGAGTGAACGATTCAGAATCAGACAGACCAGAAAGGTTTAGTGTCTTATCATTGACTGTGTTGGCCCTGCTCTATGGAACTTGATTTAATCCAGCACATCACCTTCAAGAAACTGCCATAATGAATGGCACATTTACCTTATTAATACTCAAGTTCATAATAAAGAGTGAAACAAACCCTCAAAATAGCAAACAAATTTTCAACTTTCATTTGTCACTCTTATAACTGTATCTGTTGGAGATTCCACAAAATACAGAATGTTTAACAGTGAATTGCACTTTCCCTTTGGTATTCATGAAGATTGAAAGAATAACTACAAGTTAAGTAAAACCATTAAAAATAAAAGCCCTGTGTGTAACTGTATTGTTCCTCAAACCTTACATTTTACTTTACCTTACACATGAACTAAACTTATCAATTGAGGAAATTGTTTAATTCTAGAAGTCGTTCATCAGATTTATATAGTAGTAGTAGTAGTAGTAGTAGTACTACCTCTTTATAATTTTTGTAACATATTTTGTAGAGGCAACTGGTTAGAAAGCCCAACAGGTTTCTTTTTGTAGTTTATTGTGACATTTGTTTTTAGACTCAATTGGACAAAATTTCAGTGGGCTTCCACTGATGTCATATCGATTGACCAATGGAAACTATTCATTGTTCTATTCATTCCCAACGCATGGACATGAAGGCAAAATATTGTGCACAGTCTGAGAGTTACCAACCAATCATTGCACCACCACTAATATCATTTTTGTTGTCTGCAAGATTTTCCAACCAGTTTCCTCAGTCTATTGATTAATATGCTCAAACCTCAAAATATATCCTAAACGTCTTCAATGACCGTCTTGTCTCAAAATCTTGGGCAAGTGCTTTACAAACACTGGACGGCATTGTCCACATTAAGTGTTGGAGACAATTAGTTGGCATGTTGGATAGGATGTTAATTGCATGATTTGGAAGGTTCTCTGGCTGTTCAGACAATGGACTGATGTGTGCAAACATGGTTCGTACAATAAACACTATCCTTTCGCAGTGTTCAAGTGTGTCAGTGCTATCAGCATCAGGTAGATTTATTGTGATGTTAAACATTGTTTTCAGGATTTCAGCAGACATACGAATCTCATCCTGTGACATGGTGTAAGTTACTGGACTTTCCTCAATCCTGGACCTGTAAGAGGGTTACAAATAATAATCATATAACTTTACATACCACAAAATACATTTGTTAATTTAAGACAAGATTTGCAAGAAAATTTACACTCTTTATATCTGGTTATGACAGAAATAATTATTTTCACTCTCCTCAAGATGACTTCATGATAAATATAGTGGCTCAATGGAAAAAAACTAACTTCCTTAGTTGGGAGAAGGTAATATCAGTGATTTTCAATCAAGGAGAGGAACACAGTCAAATAAAAATTGACATAGATGATTCTAAAAGGCCTTGTGATCACTAATTAACCATTGCAAATCAAATTTGGACCACAGAAAAGCAAGAGTGCAATTTCCACCACGATAGTTAAATAACATGAAAATAACCTGGTTTTATATAAAATGAATGAAATATTAATAGGATATATAAAAAAGTCTGGAAGCACAATGACTGTGTGCACTACAAACAGTGCACACAATCAAAATGTTGTCTGCCTTGACGTTCTGTGATGTTAATTTCATGTCAATTGTTACTAAGTAATATAACTTTAAAAAAAAACAAAACAAAAAAACCTTTCAAATCCCATACAGGCGTGAATTTTTTTTCAGGCCTTATTTGCACTACTGCCTAAGTAGTGCACATTACTGCGAGGATCACTTTCATTCACGTCTTTATCCACAGTTCAAATATATGACTTTCATATATTCTTAACCGTTTGTTCATCACTTCACGGGTTTATTTAGAACCAACATCAAGACCAGCTCTCAGTTGGCTTGTAAGCTCAGTTGGTAGAGCGCTGCACCGTTATCGCAGAGGTCATGGGTTCAAATCCTGTACAAGCCTGAATTTTTTTTTTTCAGGCCTTATTTGCACTACTGCCTAAGTAGTGCACATTCCTGCGAGGATCACTTTCATCCACATAATATAACTTTTCTTGGGTAATTTGGTGTAAATATAAAGCACCTGCAAATTTTTGGATGACTACAAATGGCACTTTCCCTTGTCTTTGAGAAATTCACTTGTGCTTGTTTACACCAAATTGCACTTGAAATCATTTTATAACCAATTTTAAAACTGACAGCAAAGATTTCGGGTTCTCTGTATTTCTTGCTCATGAGGATATGAAAATCTGATTGCTACATCATATGGGTTTAACCAGAGAATTGAATCACATAAATTGTCGCCAGCAATTAGTCTTGAAAAGTTAAGTGAAGAAGATTTTTAAAAGTATCTACACTGACAGTAACCTCAATGTGGCAAAGAACAGGGTTCACAGTCCATTAACAAGGAATCACCTTACATTTCATTCTACGTTGTACTGTACTAGAATTAAGTCTAACAAGAGTTAGTGAAGGAAATTGATCTAATTAAGCAGTGTTTTAAGTTCACTTTCCTTAAGTAAAGTTCAGCATATCATTGAAAAAATTGGTGCACTGACGATCCACAGATTGGATAAGTTTTAGTTTGCTTGAATTGCACCTACATGTTGATGACACATCAACAGGCCCTGGCAATATAACCCATCAATTACCTACAACATATACATAATAGAACAAAAGCAAACTTAATATTTCTATAAATCTATGCCGTGGTTTGAAATGACTTCAGATTAAAACAACCCAAACTGGTTGGATTTGAATTGTCCTTTCCACAGGAGTATGGTAATTTATCATGACTTAAGGAATACACACATAAAACTATTTGAAAATAAGTTGACCTGGAATTCATCTTAAATTGCAACAACTGCTCATTTGTACAATCTGAAGTAAATTAAAGTTTAGCTTTCGCTAAAAGCATCGATATTTACCTTTCCACAACAGTCAGCGCCTGGAGCCTTGCTCCCGTCAACTGTCCACAACCTTCTCTAACTTTGGTTTCATGACAGACTTTTCTCTGATCTTTCCCTGGAATACAGCTATCCAAAGCATGAGTCAAGACACAAAAGCCATTGTTAGAAATAACGTCCACTCGAGCAGCGTTTTCAAGAGCAGTAAGAAGGAAAAGAAATCTGAGATCAAAGTATTTCACATCGGTAGCCAAGCGGCTGATCTCAAACCATATTTTTATCCTTGCAATGATTGCTTCGATGCATTTGTACTTCAAACAGAGTCGACGAGCTGCTTGGCTGTGATAGACTACATTACATAAACATTTGAGCGCTTCAATAACTACATCGCTGTATGCGATAACTCTCTCACAAGTGTTCTCTCTATTTTCCTGCTGGTCTTCATATCTTGTTCGCTGTTCTGGTTCTTTTTTAGGAAGACTTTGCGCGGCTTTGGACACTTCTATCATAAGTTCTGCCAGTGAAAGTAGAACTAATGACGACTTATCAGAAGTAAGCGATCCCAGACCGTCTTTATCACGGCTTAGAATCCTCAAAGCACGGAGACCGTGTATTTTGAAGGTAACCCCACGGGCTTTCGTGGACAAATCATCGAGGATCGCATCAATCAATTTCTTTCTAAGACTTAAGTCCACATGGAAGAAGCTGAAAGTCTTTTCGTTTGTAGAACAAAATTGTTGAAGTGTTTTCACAGCAGCGGCTTCGTTTTGGGAACCTATACTTTCAAGAATAGCAGTGAAATTCTCCATGACTTGTACAGCCTACTTTTCAAATACAAGGCTTGGACACTTAGCATCAAATGTTAATAGCCAGGTTCCTAAGGTCGCGTGCATTATCTTTTTTTCCTCTGGCTCTGGCTAACAACTGACTACTCTGAATACCCTTTACATCCTTTTCCCTCCAGTATCCTTCATTTCAGTGAAACGATAGAATGTCCGACACGTGGACCGAGATCCAAGAACACAAGCGCCGTCAGGAAAGATTTCGTGATCGTCTTCAACGGCGAATGAGGGATCGCCAAGGAAGAGGTGTAGAAGACAATGATTCATCAGGTGATGTAAGGACTTGAGACGTCAGTTCTTGATTTACACTCGAACCTCAGAGAGAAACTGAGAAAGGTTCAAGTTAGGAGAGTGTTTATTTATCGAGAGCGGAGAGCTACGGAAATTAGAGGGGTTGGGGGGGGAGGGATTGGTCTACTATTATTATATTTATCCAGCATGCACCATAATCAGATTTAATCACCGGAAACAAACAGGAAGAAACGTTGAAAGAACGAGGATATTAAAAGCAGAGCTTTATAGAGATGCAGGTGCACTTTACTGAAATGAATACTTTGTGAAAACTTGATCCCCAATTAATTTGCACCCCCTCCTCCTCAGGAGTTTTGTCTCTGATCCAGTTAAACATGTAGTCTTATTGTCAAGAAGACTCCTTGATTGCTTGTTCATTTACGTTTCATGGCCTAGTGTATATTAGGACACAAGAGAAAACTACTTAGCAGGATTTTACGTTTTGTTTAGATTAGAATTACTGAGACCCCTTGTTGATTTGTTAAAAGATTTTATCAAGGGTACTTGTAAGTTTGCTTTCTTGACTCAGATATATGACCTGTCAATTCCTTCCAGGGTTTAGAAAATGAACCAATGTCACAAGTGTGAAATTTAGTATGCTTGTGCAACAATTTTTCTTGTAATTACAAAAATTATTACTTGGAAAGTTTAGATCCTGAATTTCTGCAATACTAAGTACCTATATATGCAAACATTGCTGTTTAGAACAGAAAGATTTGAAAAAGGGCTGTTTCAGTAAACTTAAATTAAAAATTAACATTTTCACCTTAGTAACTGCTTACTATTTGTTTATTAGGTACTGATGCACCTCAACCAGATAGAACAGAGTCCATCCCAACAGATCAGTCTTCTAGTGCAAATAAACAGGCTGATAAAGTTTTAAAAGTGGATCCTTTGCTGGAAAACAATCTTCTCGAGTGTCTGTGTGATCCTTCCTTAACTTTCCCAATAGATTCTGTTCAACTGACAAATTCTCTTTCCACGGAGGTAAGCATTTCACTAGTCTTGTCCACAACTGAAGTGTTTCTAAAATTTGGTCAAGCACCATTATATTATGTTTACCAAAGTTTGCTTAAATAGTTCTTAAAGTGGTCACATGATTGTTTAAGTGTACATGTACAAATGTTTGTTTTGCCTTCTTGTCAATCCCTCTGCTGTAAACCTATCTTAAATCTTTGATCAACTGACCTGTGACTGCTCTTTATAATTCAACTATGTCCTCGGTTAACTTTTCTTCTTCCCTCAAGTGGGTAAATTTTCTAATCTTTTAATGAAAAAATGAACTAAGGTAAAATTGAAATCTGGTCAGACAAGCAAGGCAATTTTCCAGAAGTAATTACCTTTGTTCAATTAATTTTTTTAATAATTAGCTAAAAAAGGGTCAAATTGGGATGTAGATCCATTAAGATTGTTAAATTATTTGCAGTGTTGGACTGAAATCTTTTGAAAGATCAGAAAATCCTGTTTGCTTATTTATTTTTTATCATTTGCTGTGTTGATACATTCATTTTCACTGTTATGTATATATTTAGTAATTTTCCACTACTACCTGAAACCATGAGAACATCAGCACACTTTAACAACTCAGGTGTAAAATAGAAATCCCTGCAAAGCATTGTCTGATCTCAATTTACCATTAACCCTTGAAGTCCCACTAGTGACCAAGACAGAATTTCTCCTTACATTATCAGTATGATATCAAGCAGACAAGTGATGAGAGTAACGAAAATATCAATTAGGGGATTATTGGTTGATCCAATTCCATATTCTCCAAACTATCATCACATAAATTGTATAGCAGACAGTAAGGAGAATTACTCGTGAAATCTTGGGAGTTAAAGGGTTAATGTCACACCACTGAAAAGAAAACCAATTAATATACAGATTTTTGTTTGTGGCATTTCACTTTCTTTCTGTTCCATTTTCTTATAGTTATAGGCTTTAATCAGAATTCTGTTTGGTCATTTGTATAGATTAAAAAAACAATTGGTCTTTTGCTATAGAATCAAAAAACAAAACTTACTGGTACTTGTATGCTCGTAATAATTAAAAAGAGTATTTTTCTTTCCTTTTGTACCCAATAATGGTCCCTGTATTGAAATTTCTGTCAGACTATTAAGACATGCTTCTTTCATTCATCAGACGTTATTAATGGGTTGACCTTTTCTTAGTTTCATACTGTGGATCAAGTTTGTCACCAATGCCAGCTGATGCTGTTGATTGTCTAGTAAATGATAAAGCAATGGAAACTATCTTCCTGTGAAGATATATGTGTAAATGTACATTATATTCAATATAAACTTGCCAAGACAACAAAGCATTGAATTTGTTGATCATTTTCTTAGGCACTGAAAATATGTTTTTGTTTTCCTTTGATTTGGTGGCAAAGCAGGATGAGAACAGTATTTCCCACACAGCAGTAGAGAGCCTGCTTCACAAGTTTGCTGTTCAGGACTTTATAAGGTTAAAGCTGTTACCTCATTTCCTTCATAAAAGATATTGTTATATTGTTATTGTTATTGTTGATACCTCAGCCAATCATAGTCTCAAAATTACATGTTAATGAGACCATATACAACTCTTACAAATCATTTGGCAAGTGCATAATCTCATATATATTTTAATCCTTACACACCACATGAACCAGATCAGTGATTGGGAATAGGAATGATCTTCCTGAAATATTTAAAAGTCAATATTGTTTAAAAGTGCACGTTATGACAATGATGTCAGCCATGGATTGTGATCGACATCATGGTTACTATTCATTTAATTCTGACATTTTAAGATAAAGCTGAGCTGTGTGTTTTTGTTTTTTTTTTCTTCAGTATTAAACATGGGACTTCACCTGATGGAAACACTTGTACAATAGTTACAACTACAAACCATCTGAAGGTATTTTGGAATGAGGCTGTGCCAGTTATATTTGATAAATTGCACCACTAAGGGAAAACAACTCCTTTGAGGTTTAGGACAATTTTCTTTGTCATTGCCAGTTAAAAGTTTATGTCCATTTAAAAGGAAAACTGCCTTTTCCTACAAAGAGCTCTCAGCTGCACTGTGTTGCAGATTAACATAACTGCTATTCTCACCTTCCTCCTTCTCCTTTGTCTCTTTCACTCTTTAGCCCTCATTTAAACCCCTAAGAGTGACCAGTATACAATTTCTCCCTAGAAAATCACCCCATATTTAAACATTAAGATCACAAGAATTAAAGAAATGATCACCAACTGAAGAAGCGCTTGATTGTTGCACAAATTCTCCTTGTTAGCACCTAAGGAAATGTATAGAGAACAGTGTGGAGAATGTGAATACTGATGTTAGGATGTACAGGGTTAACATTCCATCACAGGTTTTTCATGTTTTCTGTTTGATTTGGTTGACTTCTCACCATGACTGTCACAAGATCACATTTTACTTGGCTTCACCTGAGTGATGTATGGGTATCTGTATACTGTAATCTGCCTTTCTTTAATTCCTTTTTTCTCTTGTTTGTTTAACATCTTGGTTTGGGAAATTCTTTTGTTTTCTTACCAGATAGATGCTGTTCGTAGAAATTTTCCCACCAAAGGTACTGTTTTTTTAATGGATAAGTTTTTTTTTCTCTTTATTACATCCATTTTGAAATCACTTGTGATCCTTGCAATCTGATTGGCACTCAACAATGTGATTTATTCACAAATTGCACCATTTCATGTTCTAAATTGTATCTTTTTCTCAGCCAATGAGACAGCTTTATTAAAACACAACAATGAATCAAATTTCAAAGCTTGTTTAAAGAAATCAATCAAATTGTGGGAAGATGAAAGACAACTTTAATTTGCAACTTTTTACAAACTAGTTAAATATACTGGATCAATAAAATATTTTTACAGTTTAAAAAATATTGTATTAGGCAACTGAATTTTGCAACTTCAAATGAATGTAATTTAGTGGTAATTGCACTTTGTGTTGTGCAATTTTGGTTTGAAATCATACTTGTGATTTCAGATCAAACTCATGCTGCTTGTTCATTTGATCTTGAAATCATGCATATGATTTCAGACCAAATTGCACTCCACTCAGTTTAATTATCATTATTTATCAGTTTATATATTTCTCTCACTACGAATGACATGTGAATCATTTTGCTATTTCTGTTGGTATCTTTAACAATTTATTGAAAGAGGTGTAATAATGACCTTTTTGTCCATACCAGCTAACTCTGTGTGCTGAGGACTGATTGGTGATGAAGTGCACTTCCAAAAACTTATTACACTACACAAAATTATTTTCCTTATGGTTGAATAATGCATTTTATATTGATTCATGTGCTGGTTAGTTTACATCATAAAGGAAGCTGATTTTCTGATTTTCCATTTCTTCGTAGAAGATAAATCAAATTCAAAGAAGAGGAAAAGAGAAAAGTTAGTCAACGATATGCCTGCTCAAATTTTCAATTATATTGTTTGTATCCACTTGTTAATTTTAACATACAAGTACCATTGTCTGTCTGAATTATGATTTATCTCATGTATGCGTGACTCTCTGTTTGTTACAGGCAATGATTTCATGATTCTGGCCTTTTTTTTTTTAATCTCATCACTTATGTCTTTGAATATTTTATTTGATTTTTGACATCATTATGATTACTTTGTCACAAGCCCTTTCATCCCAGATTTACTTACAGCTGATTTATGGAAAATCAAGCAGGAAAAAATATTCAACTCTGACTGTTTTTTTTTCTCTTCTCAGCGATTCCAGCAATCCAGTGTCATCACCAATCATTGCACAAACAAAACCAAGAATTGAATCAGCTGATGACCTTGAGGTAAGACTAGTGTTTTAGCTTAAGTAAGGCAGTAAAATCAACTTTTGATAATGAACTGTCCCTTGAATCAGTCTCTGTAAGTATACTGTATTATCTATGGTTTTGGGAGTCTAGAGTGTCAATTATTCCTAGTTTCAATTCTTTTTTGCTGCCTCGTTTTGTATTGAATCACAACACCACCTAAAAATTTTGGTATGCAATGAGAAAACAAGATTTAATTTGCAAGAGATTTCCCAGACATGTGGTAAAATTTGGAGTGAAACTGCCACCGACTGGCCATTCAGAAAAGTAGATTAATTTTTAAACTTTGATTTATGCTAACAGATTCAGATTTCAAATTATTGAATCACAAATTGAGTCTATAAGTGTAAGCTTCTCATATTTTACTCTAGCTTACATATGAATGCTCGAGTCTTAGAAATGCAAGCCATTCCTTTTATTTTGTATTATTCGTTTGTTAAACTCACATATCAAATTTGTAATTCTCCCTACTGTCAACCATACAATTCTTATAATGTTAGTTCTGAGAATTTAGTATTGCATCAACTAATTATCCCCAAATTGATATTTTTCTTTATTCTCGTCACTTATCTGGTTGCTATTATGTTAATATTGTAAGGAGAAATTCTGTCTTGGTCACTCATAGGAGTTAAAGGGTTAAATCTGCAGTCAACCATTCAACCAACTTACCCCACTTGAGTTTTATCACATCAGTAACAGACAATAACATTACTGCAAAACTGGCCAATCAGTTTATATGAATCAGACTTAGAACATTTGACTGACAACAACTATTCACTTGACAATGACGATGACCTCTGCTCAGGTTGTTGAAACAACAGTTACTGCTATGGACAACAGTCCTTTTTGGGACTACACCCATCCAGACAATTAGACTACACTATTACATAGAGGTTTCATTTACATGCATGCAGACAAAAAGTGTTTTTGACATCAACTTGTGTCAGCATCACATTTTTGTGGACCTTTGTTGCAGTCTTATAAACTCATTTGAAAAGTGATAAATTTTTGGATTATTCAATAATTATCTTGGTTTGAACTGCTCATGGAGATATACCAACTTGCAGAAAAAAAAGTTGCCCATTTATTCCCCAACAAGTCCCAAAGGAAGCTAGCGCTTGGGTGGAGATGACCTCTCTTTCCATATAAAAATTCCTGATACTGACCCCTATTATTTTCATCTTTGTGGATATCACTTTGTTCCCCTTGAATTGTTGTTTTGTGTAATAGGGTTACTTTGTTTTTCGGTGGTCAATTTTCTTGTAACAATTTGATATTTCTCCTTTTTTCCATTTTCAGAGTCTCCTATCAATGCCAACCATGAAAGAGATGGAAGTAAGAAATTATGATATGCCTCTTTGTCTCACTCAATCAAAGTAACTTTTGTTGACTGTTAAATAACATAACAATTTGTGGTGTGTGTGTGTTTTTTTTTGTTTGTTTTTACTGCATTGAGACCAACCTTCTGGGGATCAAACTTGGATAATTTACAAGCAGGTTCCAGCACCAGGAAAGAAAAAATCATTCATAACAATTAACCTAGAAATACTTGTAGCTTTTTTTATGTCTTTGTATTTTTAACTGAAGTTATCTTGCAAACACAATTGAAAGATTGAAAATATGTGGGCAATGTTTGATATTTCCTACTTTTTTCATATACCTTTGAATTTGATTTAATATGTGTCTTTCTGTGTAGAGTAAAAAAGTTGGAGAAGAAATTTTGGATCTTCTGAATGTACCTTCACATAAGGTAAGGGAATAGAGGCAGACTGTCATCTGCTTTAAAAAAAAAAACTTTGAAAACGATGTAGGTAAGAGTCATGTCTTGCTCTTCTTAAACAATATTAAAACACACCTTTCATTGTGCCTGATTAATATTGAGCATCCATTGTTTGTATACCAGTCGAGTAGCACTTTTAAAATTGGCTCACCATGGAACATCCTAAAAGCAACTTGTGTTTTATTGTTATGCACACAAGTCTTAAGAAAAGTCAGTCAACTAGGAAAATTAAAGTGTCAAGTCGGATATTATGTAGTTTACCACAAGAAAGTGAGGATACTGTGAGCAACAGAATCAATGAACAAATGTGAAGACTTAATTGTGAATGGTTGTGAGCTACAGTGTATACCAGTCGTGACCTTGGCAACATTTTCTTTTAAATTTTGAAATAATTTGTTTTTTATAATTTATGAAAAAATGTTTATAGCTTAAACTTCATGACACAAAATGAAAAAATGCTCAACTAGTAAAACTTTTGTTAACAGATATTTTACCCAAAAAAATTTGAACAAAGTATAGAAAACATCAAATTGTCTTTCCATGAAAGTTGATAAAAATTAAGTTGTTGAAGGGTTCCAAAAACAAAATCTATAGTAAATTGTGGCCTAACATCTGAATTATTTAAGAGCTCAGTACATTTATTTTGCTCAAATCATTGAGTATACAATGAGTGATAAAGTGTTGGTATGCTCTAATAATTTTGAATTTTTTCCTTTTAAATAATGTTCATTTATCTCCCCCTCCCCCATTTCAATGTTACATGGTGGTACAAAATGGTCACACATATCAGACAAAATTGTTAGGGGGAAGGGGGGACTGGAGAGTAACTTATTAGAGATGAATTACAAGATTTTTCTTCATTATGTTGAGTGTAGGATTGTTGACCACTAAGTAAGTGAGGCATACCATCTACTTTTGCCACTCATTATAGGTTTTGAGCCCTGAAAATCCTTTTTTCCTTTTCCATTAGCAACTTTCTGAGAGAGATGAAAGCAATAATTACCTAGATCGTTTTAATCTAGTTGTGAGTAGCAGTTGTAAATTCTTGAATATTGCAGGAACAATCTACAGTTGAAAAGTTCAAGTCTCAAGGAGGAGCATTTGTGCATGAGTTCTGCGATCATGGAACAAGAGAAGACTGCAGGAAGAACAACCCCAGAGGTCAACCTTGTAGGAAGGTGAGCTTATAATGTTGTGTGCCATTCATTTTCTTACTTCTTGCCTTTTTACCAACATGCCGATATCTCTCATTACTAGGTTCATTTTCGAAAAATTATTCAGAAGCATACAGATGGTAAGTTCACTTGTTATCAAGACTAAACTTTTTTTGGAAAATTTATTTTGTGTGTAAGTTACATTGTTGGAAGAGAAAGAGTTTGAATAATCATAACTTTTGTTTACTTAGAATCCCTTGGAGATTGCTCATTTCTCAATACATGTTTTCATATGGATACTTGCAAGGTGAGAGTCTTTCCTGGATAAGTGGCAATACTTTGAGATTTTAGTTTTAAAAAAAGTCAAGCTTGAGGGTAGTAAATTTGAATATAAATTGCTTTAAGGGTTAATGCCTTTAACCTGGGAGTATCATTTGATCATGTAGTCTGTTTATCCAGGTGAGTGTTGTCTTGAAAAGGACTCATTAGTAGTAGTGACTGACATGTCAACAACCTGAGTGGAAGTCATCATCACAGGCAAATGAGGAATTGTTTTTTGGAATGAGTGGTTTGAGTGTGGTTCATGAGATCACTTTGGTCAGTTACCCAAAAGCACAACACACACGCAAGGGATATAACCAATCACAGATTTCCCATTTGACAAGGTTTTCTAACAATATTTCAAAACTCTTTTAAATTTTGATTGGGAGATGCAGGCACAGAAAGAAGTGTGTCTTTTTCCTAAGAACACAACACGTGTGATCTTGCAGGCCTGCAGGGTTTAATTTGAGTCTCATGCACTAAGTCTGTGTTCTTTCCTTTTCTCTTTGGAGAGAGAGATATATTTTTTGGTAATGGGATTGAAGCCCCTTTCATGCTTTTCTATTTCAACCTGTTGTCTTTTTTTTAAAGGAAACTTTTTTTGTCTTTGTCAGTATGTTCATTACAAGGTTGATTATAGTGATGTTGAGTTGAATAAGGAAGAGAAAGAAAAAGACAAGAGAAAAGAAGAGAAGGTATGCTTGGTTTACCACTTTGTTCATTGGCTTTTACATCACTGAATAATTAATCTAAAGTGAGCGCTAATTAAAATTAAGAAATTTCAGATAAGAATTCTGAAGAAATTCAGGTTTGATAAGATTGGAACTCGTGCCTCTCAGATAGTTTGTTGCTGAGTTACAAAGCCACCCGTTTGGGGGGGGGTGTAGTAGATTCTTCTTTCCTGCAATGGAATCTGATTACAATTTCCTTTGAAGAGTGAAAATGTGAACGATAGAGATCTATGTAATTATTATTAAAAAATTAACTATTGAATCGAATAAGTGGCAAAATGACCTTTTTTCGTGCTTTTTTTTTCCTTGCTCTGTAACCAATAATTCGTTGATTCGGTTTTTTGTTTTTTTAATTGGAGGCATCTTTAACAAAAACCGCAGAGGAAGAAAACCGAGTGATACTCTATCCACCTCAGGTAAGAGGGATGTCTTTTGTTGTGTCACCTGCATTGTGAGATATAATGAATTCTTTAGAACAGGACGGTAATATCATCTACTCCCATTTTCTTTCATGTGGCTTGTTTTTAACCCCGATGGGGCGAACATCTACGAAACCCTTGCTAGTGTCTATTTAACACAGGGTGCCCATTTCCATGCTGGTTCTAGTAAATTGTCCAGTCTGTTACAGCGTTCATCACATATATGATTGACTACTTGTGAAATCATTTATTTCAATGATCTGTCAGGATGAAGTGCTGAAATGAAAACAGGGTTGGTAACAAGGTGTAGACGCATTTGCTGAGTAGTTTGTCACTGGTTCATCTTGTCAAAACATCTGGTCTAGTACGCTGTAAATCAAGTAATTACTTGAGCGGAATTTGGCTCTAAAACTGCAAAGTTTTCCCACGACATAAAAAATCCCGTTGATTTGCATGCTTAGTATAGGTGTCCACTGAATGCAGGCTCTAGTCACATGTAATTTGGGAAGGCAAAACTGGGACATTAATTCGTGTTGGCCCGTTTATGACAGGTTTTGTGGATGACGAAGCCCGGGTTTGAATAAATGGCTTCCGTAGCCTCTATACCTTCTTTCACGAGCTATATTACGTTTAAGCTTGGGCCTTGTCCAGGCGGAGCTTGGTTTTATGATAAATAAATCAAATGGGTTGAATCATTCTTTGGAATACGAGGATGTTTACGTAATTGCAAATTCCTTGCACTAATTTTCCAAGACTAGTGGTGTGTTGTCTTCATTTTAGTGGATTCAGTGTGACATGAGGTATTTTGATATGACGGTGCTGGGCAAATTCTCTGTGGTCATGGCCGATCCTCCTTGGGATATACACATGGAGGTACATGCCGTATTTCATTTGTCCTTTTTTTCTGGTTATCCACTCGTTTGAAATCACTGTGACCTCTGTAACTTTAAAGAAAGAGTATAAATATCAAGTTACAGTGATTTGGACTTGGACATAAAAACATAAAACGACATTTTTCATCTCATACGCATTCACATGTATGTTCCAAGACACGCACGCATATGTCCTGCTTTCCATGCAGACCGTTGAGTAGTAAAGCATTTACTGGGTGAATTTAAAAGGCAAAAGATTTGCTAGGAGGCAATTCAGTCCGCTATGATCGCAAACGTTGGGTTACCACCAACAAAATCGGACATACCATTCCTTGGATTTTCTTTTTCTGAATTGATGATCGTGTTTCTTGTTTTAAATGAGTGAGACTTTTTAAGGCTCGGATGGGTAACAGTTCGTTCTTTTTCTAGTTACCGTATGGTACTATGTCAGACGAGGAAATGCGCAAGCTAGACGTTCCCTCCCTTCAAGACGAAGGATACATATTCCTTTGGGTGACTGGTCGGTCAGTACAGAGTTTTTACTGCTTCGTTACTTTATAAAAAAAAAAGTTAGACAAATTTTCCCTGAACTTTATCATAACTAATTTCTATTGCGGAAGTCTTGTGACTAGTGGTTCGTTTTTGCTTAGATTCGCCAAAATTTTTTAGCAAAATTACTCCATGGATAAAAGGCAGCTGTAAACAGTCAAATGTTTCTTGTTTTGTCGGCGAAAGTAAAGTTCCGCTAATTTCCAAGTGTATCGGAGTGCGGTTTATAACACTGTGACTCAAACAAGTACTTTATGTTGTTGTATTGTAGTGCGATGGAACTTGGTCGAGAATGTTTAAAGCTTTGGGGGTAAGTATTTCAGTGGATGAGCTCATTTTTACGTCCACTACACGATGGTGGCCAATTACGGTTTTTGAGCCATTTTTTTTTGCTCCGGCTAATTTGCTTAGTTTGAGAATCAACTCGACACTCAGTGTTATTAGTGAGTTTTTGCAATGGGAATGAAGCACCGCTCTTTTATACATGGCTTAAAAACAGTGTTGAGCAGCAGAGGTTAAGCTGTAGCAAAACTTATTTTGGTTTGTGCAATTTATTTTATCAATAAAGTTTGCTTCTATAACATAGTGTTACTTGTAACGAAGAATGTTGGGAATATAGTTTAAAATACGGCTCCCTCAGGGTGTTTTCAGCCATTCTGAAACATTATCAGTTTATTACAAAATTTTTATGCGTTTTCTTCCACATACTACCTGGTAAAAGTTGTTTTTGTAGCTTTGGTTTTTGGATAGCTACTTTGGTTGTATTGCTAAAAATCCTCACAGAGAAGTTACTGAAGTTGTTTTATTTTATTCAATAGTTATGCGGGCTGCGACGAGTTAATCTGGGTGAAAACAAACCAGCTACAGCGCCTGATTAGAACGGGAAGAACTGGGCACTGGCTTAATCACGGGAAAGAGCACTGTTTGGTAACTTTTAAATCTTTGTATTTACATTCAATTGATCTTCATCTTTGTCATAACCAAATGCATTGTCGTTCTTCAGGTTGGCGTGAAGGGAGAGTGTAAAAACTTTAACAGAGGTTTGGACTGTGATGTGCTTGTTGCTGAGGTTTGTTCACTTATTGACTCTTCCAAGCAAGGCTGACTTTATCTCCTTGCGTCTAATTTTCTTTACCTTCTGAAAAATATAAAACCTTTGCAATTCTATTTACTTTTGGTAACAAAAAAAAAACCTTAGCGATGGTTGAAACAACCAGACAGACAAACAAACCAGGAGACAGAAAAATCTGAACAAAATAGACAAGTATAGCCGTGCGCTATGAATCAACAATCAATTTTAATTTATAGTTAAAATTCATTGTCTCCTTCACTTAAATTGTGCAATTTTTTGATGAATTATTCGATTTTCGTTCTGTAGACAGTTGTCATCATTTTTACATTGCTTACAGGGCAGTTGGATGTATTTTGCAGGTGAGACAGACAAGTCACAAACCAGATGAAATCTACGGAGTGATTGAACGGTTAGCACCCGGAACGCGGAAGATAGGTAGGTATTTTTTGCCTTCTCATCATCAATGTTTTATTTTAACATCAAGAAGAATCAAGATTTCCCTCGCATCTCGCGCATGAAATACCTTCGCTGCGTGTAATAAACACACTGTTCTACGTATACCAAATAAGAAGATAAAAATGATATCAAGGTAACCGGGTATATGCAAATGATATTTGTGCATTTTAGGGCCTGTCTACAAGGATGTGGGAGCCCCCAGGTCGGTGAGGTAACCTGCCTAACTGTGGTCGAAAAATAGCCCGCGTTTACATACAATCTTACAACCCCGGAATCCCGGGGTGAAGTTTCTCGAGGTTGTTATCGCACTTGTAGTTAAGGAGTTTAAGATGTCACTACGGCGATGTGTGGTAAAACGTTGCCGAAAAAAAACTAATTTATTTTCCTAAGTTTTCCGCCAATAGTTAGATGCGTTAACCGTTTCTAACGGTACAACGTCTTCACCTCGGCATAACATGTGAATGTACTGTTGAGTTTAAAGTAAAAGTATGACTAAATTGCTGTCGGGGTTTTATTGCTAAGAGGAAGTAAAAAAAATGGTGTTTTAACGTTTTAGCTCTCTATGGGATGGCTAGGAAATGAACAAAGGTTAACACACTCGTGTTCCGCTATTTTTTTGCTCATTTGATATTTCTGTAACATAAATGCGACCCCGGCTAGGTGGGTCACCCCACCTATCATGGAAACGTGATCAAGATAAAAGAGGAGATTATATGGACTTGCAGGTTACTCCAACTAAGCGGGTTACCTCACCTACCTAAGGTCCACTACCATGTAAACAAGCCCTTAATAACGGTTCTCCATCTTTGCTCGCATTACTGAAGTTAAATTCCATTCTTTTATGGCATGTAAACAAACGTTAGAAGATAACTTTGTTTATTTTTGCGTGGAAAGTTTAAACAGAATTTCCACGAGCCTGCGTCCCGGGAATCACTCGGGGATCTCTCACTCGAAGATAAATTCGTATGCTCACACGGCCCTTTCTCAATTTTTTTCCTTGTAGAACTCTTTGGAAGGCAGCACAACGTTCAACCAAACTGGTGAGAAATGGTAGAAATTGTTATAAAGATGAACGTTGGTGTCCTTTGCCGTTGAAGGCTAAAAACTCCAAGTGTTTGTTGTTTGATTGACTTTATTGGTTAATCAGTCTTAGTATATACCACACGAGTGAATAGTGCTTTTCGCGCGCGCTGATTGGCTAGTTCGGAAGTGAAGAGCAACTAGTACTCACCTCCGAGCAGCCGGTGAGAAAAAATCGCGCGTCAAGAGTGTTATTTCCAACCATTTTTTGGTAACTGTGTGGTATGTGCTAAAAACAACTATTCACTTCAGTGTTGGTGTATAATTTTTAAGTGTTGCCATTACTGTAATTGGTCGAGATTTCAGTATTTGTGAAAAAAACGTTTTGCTTTTGATGTGTAAGTAATACGTTCCCTCTCCACAGGATAACCTTGGGTAATCAACTGGACGGTGTTAGACTTTTAGATCCTGAAGTCACAGCACGCTTCAAAAAACGCTATCCTGACGGAAACGTACTCAAACCTCCCACCACTAAAGCCTGATTCCTCTCGAGGTGCTTGACCGTAGACGCCTGTTCCAATCAAAATCTGCGCAGCAACTTCGTGAAGTAAAACATGGTACTCCTCAGTAGCTGCAGAGAAGTTTCAGTCGGATGAGCCGCTTTCCTATTGTGATAACGATAAGACGCCCGAGAAAGTTACAATTGAATCAGTTGGGCCGACAGGATCGAGTGACACACCTGTCCTGTTTTCTATTTGTCCACTTGGAACTAAACAGAGTGTAATCTGTGAAACAGTTTTCTCTGTCTCTTTTAAACCATGCAGAAGAAGCGTGAACTTAGTTGGAGTCACGTGAAAAATTGAATCTTTGTTCTCTTTGATGTTTAACTTAGCGTGACCCCAAAGTGGCTTTCGCTTTTCCTGCTTAGCCGAGGGGGAAAGAAGTCTGTTACGGAAGGCAAACAGCGTGAGTGGATTAGACTGCTCCTGCACCAGCATTATTTGATTCGTTTGTAGTTGTTCTATAATCTGTAAACAAATAGTTTATTTGTGTTTAGATTAATGTGCGTTTTACTCAGATGACCTTGAAAATAAAACAGGGCTTAAAGCAAAGAAATGCCTTTAAGTTTTGCTAGTATACGTCAGCAGAGATATTACAACATTTCACCCTTGCTCGTAAAAAATGTTTGCCTACTGTTAACCTACATTAAAAGCGTGTATCAGCGTGCTTGTGGAAAGGGAAAAAAAGTCGTTACATTTACTTAACAATCGCCGGTTTTCGCTCGTTTGCGCAAGCAAATATCAGGCTACAGGCTCAGCCACTATCCCACAATACAGCAGGCGCTTCAATCGCTTTACAAAGGGAATTAAATTGAGTAGAGTGAATGTTCTTAAAGAGACAATATGGTTGACGGCAAATCACAATTATGATTTCAGTCCAACATAGCACGACACTAAATTGCATCAATTTTGAAACCGCACAATTTAATTGCCTAACCACAGGATTTTTGTCGCTATCAATGGCTTATCGACCAGAGCCTCAAGAGACATTGCTCTTAGTGAGTAAATCATACTCCTAAATCTGACATCGGATTGGTTGTCTCGTTTTAGAGTTCCATTCCTGAAACTGTTAACGCAAGATTACAACGGTTATGTTTCAATGCAACATTCTTTATCACCTAACCCAGTCCCGCGCGTGTCACTTAGTTCATTAGCAATTACTAGACATTGTGACGTCAATGGTGGAATGTTCTCTGCTTTGTTATCCAACTGAAATGGATGACTTACAAATTGTAGAAAGCGATGGAGAGAGAAAGTTTTTGCAATATTTACATGGGTATCCCGGGGAACCAGAATGGCTTTCTGTATTACTTGACGAAAAACAAGCTCTACAGGAACCGGAAAAAACAGAAATACAGCAGGTTAGTCTTACGCTATTGGCAGGGTCATCGAGACACATTACAAGTAAATTAGCTGAACTTTGCCACGTACCAGCATAGTAAGACAACTTATAACGACCAGATAACACGCATTGGTAGCCTCCATTAAAGGGAAACCGTCGTCGTTGAGCATGCGCATTAGTACCCATCCAAACTTAACAAGTTTTAAAATGGCTTCGGGCGGTGGTGGATACGGTCGAAGAAGAAATACGGGACGGAAACGGAAGAGCGTGGTTTAAACGGAAACCGTCTTCGTTGAGCATGCGCGTTTGTATACGAAACTATGAAAAAAAAAAGAAGAAATAATAACTGTAAATATATGAAAATCATATATGTACACTGCGGTTGAAGAAACGAATATAGAAGCGATCCTCGCAGTTACGAACACTACTGAATTAGTAGTTGAAATAAGGCCTGAAAAAAATTCAGGCCCGTGCGGGATTTAAACCTATAGCCAATGCGATACCGGAAGAAGAAATCTTTCCTTGGATGGTGAAGCATTTTGAAGAAAAGAAAAAATGATAGTTAACAGACTTGTTAAGATCCATATCTTGATTCGTACACTTTTGGGAGACCTTTTTTTATCTTTTATTAGTATTCCTTTTTCTTTTTCTCGTTTTCAGTTTATCAGAAATCCAAGAATTGTGAAATGCCTTGAAATACAATCCTATTAGAAAAAAAGCTCACCTTGAATGTATTAGTGTATAATTTCGTTGTCTTCAACAGATGCTGGTAAATTTACGGATCCATGTAAGAGTTCTCTACGAAAAACAAAAGAGTCTGGCCGACAAAGTAGAAACCTCTGAACTGTTGGCCGAGAATAGACTAGAGCGTCTGTCAGATAAAGACAAGCAAATTGGGGAACTGTCACAGTGGATAAGCGATCTAAAGCGACAACTTGAGCAAGAGCAACTACGACTAAATCTGAAACTTAAAGACGTCAAACATGCTGCTGAGAAAGAAAAAGTTGAGTTTCAAAACGAGAAGGAGAGGGTTGTGGCAGAGTTGGAAAACGAAAAAAGAGCATTGCAAAGAGAGCTCTACGAGAGCAGGCATGAATTAACCCAGCTACAGAATCGCTTAGATAAGTCCGTGCAGGAAACAGCGAACGTGATAGATAATTTCAAGTTCTTCTATGAAGATTATCTTAGGTTGGAACAAGATCTGTCTAATATCGAGCGAGAGCTAATACCAATACAAAAGCAGTTCCTCCAACTAGCTGAAACCATGAATATAGACCCTGAAGAGTTACAGCGCAAGCTCGAAGTGATTAAGGAAGCTCTCAGAAAGAGCAAAAGTCACAAGAATATAAAGGACGTCTTTGATAAAGTCTTGATAGCTGCTGATAAAGATCATACGCCTCAAGAGGATTCAGCTGCGTCCTCTTCTGGTGGTAGCAGTAACTCAGACAGCTTCACTAAGGGTCAGTTAAGACTGAGTTCGTCCAGCAAAACTAAACAGAGGGAACCGTCCTGTCCTTTTAGCCAAAAATTACTTTTCGAGGAGTTGGAACACGGATCGCTCAAAGAAGCAGATGAAAATGTTATCGTACAGAAAGGAACACTGAAAAGATCAAAGCTTCGCGTAAAGATTCCAAAGTTTCAATGGAAAACACGGTAAGTTGCCACTTCCTGACGAAGGAATTCCCCGAATAAGAGGTTAATCGGTTAATTTTCCTTCTATAGCACGGTCCTTCAAAAAGGGAAAATAAAGCTCTCGCAAAAGATTTGCCCTCGGTCTTGATAATTCTCGCTGTCATGATCAACCTCATCCAGCAGTTGTTAGTTAACAGTCGTTGTCTTTTTTTCTTTGACTTGATCTTTCCGATATTTACAAACAACATCTAGTCGCACAGTTTGTTGCTGCACCGGTTGAATCAAGTTATTAAAAGAATTTGTCAATAAAGTAGTCAACTTCGTGGATGTTTCATAAGATCTCCAGTCGATAACTCGCATGATATCAGCTCCGACATCAACCTCTACACCAACAGAAAATTGAAACACGTCCAGAAAGAAAAACTGAATCAGGTATATGTGATCGAGATGAAAATTGCACGGAAATGTCGGCATAAATACATCCTCAAAGGAGGTGTTCCGACCTAAGAATCTGTGAAATTGGCTGGTACCGTCATTCTCAGTACTATTTTGTTTTTGTGTTGGCTCAAGATTAATGGGAAAAAATGGAGCCTGCTCGTTTCTTCCTTTTTATTTCCTTGTTTTCTTTTTTCCGATGGGATTATGACTGCAACAGTGTTGATGTGCTTGTTTTGATCAGATCACCCGCCAAACGCTGAATATTTCTCGGGAAAAACCGACTATTGTTATGCCGTACTGATTCGATTCAGTGGCATCCTTTCAATAAGTACCCCCTCCCCCCTCCCCCCTCCTCTTACAATCGCTCCCCTCGAATCTGTTGTTGTTAATAGGCGACAGTTCCAAAAAGCGTCCCTATTAATTAATCACCCTCATTCCAATAAGCGCCCCTTTTCCAATAAACACCCCTGTTCTGTTTCAGTAATAGCACTGCCAGAGTGCTTGTACACTGAGATGCACCGTGGCTCATCCTCCTTTAATTGCTCACTTAAAGCCTCACGATAGAAAAAGTGGTCTTCGACTCAGTTTCGCAATTTTTATGTCGCCGTGAGTGCACAGTTCCTTCAAACGATTGCTTGGCTAGTCGTTCTAGCAAGGAAGGATCCATCAATGGACAACAAGTCCGTTTTCCAGTCTTTTTTATTATCAATCAAATAAACATCAAAGCTTTGTTTTACACTCTGATGTTTCTCAAAAAATTGTAAAGAAGTAAGCGCCCTGTTTCAAATAAGCCGCCTCCCTTGTGGTAACGAAAGTAAAACCTGGCGCTAAATCGAATCATTTCATATTTGTGGAAACAAAATGATCATATAGATAAAATATATATTTGTTTATTTCTTTCAGGATTTGAAGAAACAAGTTAAAACTTTTTTTAAATCACTTGACTGCTTATATCGCTTCAGAGTTCAGTTCGTAGAGAACACTTCACTCGTC